GGTGGCATAAATACAACACTCTAAAAGATGTTTACTTGCAGAATTTGTAGTTTCTGTTCAAGCACGCTTAATGGTTGTGCAATTCGATGAGCACGTTTTCAGCTCTCGAATTCTTCAGTGTGTGGACGAAGGATGCTGTCGCCAGTTTGTTACGTATGATGCTCTCAGGTGTCATATTTTGAGAAGACATAGGCATCGGTACGCCTAAGGGAAGTTTGGTTTGTTTCGAGGAGTTTGGAAAGCTTTCAGTGCACTTTGCCACCATGCCTAGAGGAGTGCCACACAAGGGAGGCATTGCTAAAACATCTAAAAGGCCACATCACCGACAGCATTTTGTTTTCGTGTTCATGCTCCAACTGTCAGAAGGTGTGAAATCATAGTTCGATCACGGCACATTTGAACTGGGCGCATTTACGAGTGACGGGTTTCTTGGGCGACGGCGCATCGCCTGCAGGCCCGCTTCAGGTTGAGGACTCTTCGACTCGGTCGACTAGTGCGGATTCTAATGAAGACGGTGCTGTTAACGTGATGCAATCCCCTAATGATAACTACGACGTGTTAATGTCTCTGTCTGCAGGAGAAAAAATGAAGGCCGTAAAATACGACCTTGTTTTGTTTTTTGTACCTGAAGTTCAACGGAACGCTTCTTATGCCGGTATCAACAGTTCAAAAAACCATTTATGAATTTCAACGTCGGCATTTCTTGTACAAACAATACATGTTCGGCCAACTTGCTGAAAGCCTTCAAAACGTGCTTGGTTCAGTCGAGGTTCATAACATCATTGAGTTCATAACATCACTATACAATGATGTTATGAACCTGAATACTACCACCATTCTCGTCGTTGAAATTGCACCGTAAACATAACGGCGCGCTGTAAATTTTTTTTACCGCAAATTTGAAGGCCGACCGTAGATTTCTACGGTCCCCGTTTAAATTTATCGTAAACCAGATTTACAGTGCACCGTCATTTTTACTGTACAAGTTTGGCAGCATCAGCTGCCGGGTATTTGACCGTAAATTTTACGGTCAAATTTACAGTCATGACGCTACAGTGTAGCGTCCTGACTGGTGCCCCATGCGAGCACGCACGTATGGCGTGCACGTGAATATAGCTTTGGTAAGCTTGCAATTGCACGTGATTTTCCGCACGAGCAGAGACATTGCGTTGGCCAGATGCCCAGCTTTCTGAGGCTATGCAGTCAAAAGTACGGGAGCGTGTGCCTTGGTGTGCATAGCCACAGAAAGTTCAAAGAATTCATCCCCTACAGGTAAACCGATACAAAAGCTCTCAAGATCTATGTTATGTTATCAGAGTTTAGTAAAAACGATGACTCCACAAAAAATATAAACACCCCCCCCCCCCCCCCGTTTTACGCCGAGGAACCGCCCCCCCCCCCCCCCCCCCCCCCCAAAATGGAGGTCTGGATCCGCCCCTGCCCTGGTGGTATCTCAGCAGCGGTGGTGTACCGGGTGCTTTTCTTGCAGGGCTTAGGGTGACATGAGAACGCCGATTTTTGATTGGTTCTGAATGAAGGATAGAGGGTAGATCTCAGGGCAGCTTGCTTTGACGTCTACCCACTATCCTTCAATCAGAGCCAATCAGAGCTCGGCGTTTTTCTGACGCCAGCGTAACTTCCGTGCAAGAAGCAGACGACTTGCTCTCCGCGTAGGACGCTAAACACACCATTCGGAGGCGCGCTCCTGGCTCCATAGCGATAGGTCTACGATTCCAAGATGCGACTTTCTGAGACTTATGGCGAATTCCACTGGTCGTTTTGGAGCGCGCCGGGATCGACTTTTCTGGAGCGAGCCTATTTCACTGGGCGATCGGGATTGAGACCGACATGTTTCACTGGTCGTTTTGGATTAGCTCCCGCTCCAGATCTCGATCTGGATCCGATGGCGAATTCCACTGGGTGTTTTGGAGCGCGCCGGGATCAGGGGGACTATGTTGCACGTTTTGGACTCCCAGGAGACTAGGAAGAAGGAAGTGACGTCAACAACGCAGCAAATGCAGATTGGATGTTGATTTTGTTTTCTTCTGTCAACATCCAATCTCTGTTTGCTCTAGTCGTTGACGTCACTTCCTTCTTCCAAGTCTCCTGGGGGTTCAAAAAGCGCAACATAGCACCCCAGTTGACCAGATCCGGAATGGAGCTCACAATCCGAACGGGGTCGCGCCGGCGATGGATCCCCAGTGGAACATGACCACTGCTCTGGGATCGGCATTTGCCTTCATGTCATTCAACTGCCGGGGAATCCCCTTTCCGCGGCCGCCGCGGTCGTTTCCAAGACGTTTTCGCAATCGCGGTGCTAACACGTGTTCGACGCACGAGCGGCAGGAATGGCTCAGGCGCTTCTAGCAAAGATTGCCGCAATGCCCGTAGCGCGGCCAAAACCTTCTCTTCTCCTTCCTGGAAGACGAACCGGCTGTCGAGCCAAGGGGTAAAGGCCCTGTCACACTGAGGGGACAGTTGAACAACTATATCCGGCAACACGGGGAAGTCGTGTTGCCGGTGACCCTGTCACATCGCGGCAACAACAACAGCCGGGCAACATGTTGCTGCCGCCCGGCAACAGTGTTGCCCGATTTGTTGTCCGACAACCCTGTCACACCGCGCTGACGGCGGGGACAACACGGGGAACACTCCGCCATCTTGATTGTTTACCTTCGTTCGTGTGCGGCGCGGAATCGCTGGAAATGTGACTCTACAAAGTGCTAGTGCGTTCGAAGGGCCGGGAATTACCACGGTACGACATCAACCAGTGGCTGTAATTAGAAAACTTGACACGGGGAGTATTTTCCGCTTTTTATTTTATCGAGATGTTCTTCATTCGCTGACAAAGCAGATAGCCCTAACCGAGGAAAGCGACATTGCTGATATATGTTTTGGATTTACGCCACCGTATAAAGTGTTTCTGTCCGGTTCTTTCATGCAATTCCTATTTCTACTGTGAAATTGCGTTAGCGCCGGCAGTACCCCAAACCGTCTTTTGTAACGTGGTGTTGAGCTGAACTGACAGTGCTTCAAAACTGCGACACCGACACCATCGGCCTTCATAACAATCGGTGGAATAAATATTTTTCAACGCTGTCTACTTGTCTACCGCCTGCTATGTGATCGATTCATTGCCCCAAAACTCCTGGGTATTTTTGAAACAAATCAGGTGTCTGGTAAAGGCTGGTTCTAAGTTCCAAGCATCAACGTTTTCGCAATCGCGGCGCTAACACGTGTTCGACGCACGAGCGGCAGGAATGGCTCAGGAGCGTCTAGCAAAGATTGCCGGAATGCCCGTAGCGCGGCAAATACCTTCTCTTCTCCTTCCTGGAAAACGAACCGGCTATCGAGCCAAGGGGTAAGCAAGCGGCCATTACCATTTCTTCTGAGGCGAGATCAGGCGAGATGCCCGCGAGAAAGGAAGTCACGTGTGTGCGCCGAGGGCTGACCCGGCTGGCTTCCGGTTGAATCCGCCAAAATCGGGGGAGCGACTTTTCTCGGATCCAGATCGAGATCTGGAGCGGGAGCTAATCCGAAACGACCAGTGGAACACGTTCGTCTCGATCCCGATCGCCCAGTGAAATAGGCTCGCTCCAGAAAAGTCGATCCCGGCGCGCTCCAAAACGACCCGTGGAATTCGCCACGAGAAAAGTCGCTCCCACGATTTCGGCAGATTTAACCGGAAGCCAGCCGGGCCAGCCCTTGGCGCACACACGTGACTTCTTTTCTCGTGGGGCATCTCGCCTCAGAAGAAGAAGCACGTCGCGGGCTGGGCTCCTAGATTGTCTCGACATCAGAAGAATTCGTACTGGCCGCTTGCTTACCCATTGGCTCGACAGCCGGTTCGTTTTCCAGGAAGGAGAAGAGAATGTATTTGCCGCGCTCCGGGCATTCCGGCAATCTTTGCTAGAAGCGCCTGAGCCATTTCTGCCACTCGTGCGCCAAACACGTGTTAGCGCCGCGTAGCGAAAACGTCTTCGAAACGACCGCGGCGGCCGCGAAAAGGGGATTCCCGGGCAGTTGAATGACGGGAAGGCATCCGCCGATCCCGGAGCAGTGGTCATGTTCCACTGGGGATCCGTAGGCGGCGCGATCCCGTTCGGATATTGTGCTCCAATCCGGATCTGGTCGACTGATCCCGGCGCGCTCCAAAACGCCCAGTGGAATTCGCCATTAGATGCGTGTGTCAGTGAGCTCAGACGATATCGCTTTTGCTCTTTCGCTGAGTGTTTTTAACGTTTCTGGAGTATGAAAAAGGCGTTTCCTGTCATTTCCGATAAAGCTTAAGACAACTGGCAACCATATCTTTAAGCAGCAAGACGTCAAAAGGTTGTTACACTGAAGGGAAGCTCATTTTTGGGCTCTGGTTACAGCAATTCGCATACCGAAAGCGGTAGCAGTCCCGAAACTTCTAGCCGCCATTTAATATTGATCGCCCTTAAAGTTGGCTTCTACCTGCGGACAGAAGCGTACGGAGAGGCAGCCTTACGGAACAATGTAGCCGTCAGTAACAAACTCGTATTAATCTAGAACGAGATTTAGAGAAGAGTAACTCGGCGGAATCGGGAGACGCAAAAAGCGAAATACGCGAATGCGAGACGCCAAACCGTTACGTTCGTGAAAGCAATGTATAGTGTCACCATCGCAAACCGGCTCTATTCTCGCGAGTGGCGCCTCACTACCATTGGTTGGCGCAAGCGATAGTGTTACCATAGCAACAACCAATGTCGCTCCTGACGAAAGTCGGGGCTACGCGAGTGGGTACATAAACGATAACACCGAAATGCACCGGAACGAAAGACGTCTTACGCATTAAAAAGTTCGTCAAATATCACCGAAGTACCACCGAACTTTGTTTTTTTCTTTATTTCCCTCACGAGATTGCGTTCTGGCTGTTACCATAGCCTTCACGCGAAGACGCCAGTTTTCTAGAAATAAGATGTGCAAATAGTTTTGTTTTTGGTATTAATCTGGTTCTGCTAAACTTCCCCCGCAAGGTGTGACCTGTCTGGGTAACTACGACATGACCGGTGATGGCATCAAGGATCTCCTGGTTGGCAGGATCGACGGCCAGATCGAAGTCTACGCCTACAACGACGTCGATGAACCGGTGCTGAGGTTCTCTTACGTGAGTCGTTTCTGTTTTGCGAATCTAATTTCTGAAGGCAGATTGAATGTGCTGTCTCCGAGTGCTTGGCCCGTACACGTTCTTAGCCTGTCTTCCTCTCCTTGTCTCTGTTCTCTTGCCTCCGCGATACTCGTAGTTTTGGAGTGAAGGCAACTGCGAGCATCTTTAGCGATTTCTCTTTTCGATCCTCCGCTTCGTTTCATCGCCTAAGTCGCGTGCTTGCTGTGTCTAATGATTTATTTTTTTCCCCACGTTTTTCGTTTTATTTACGTTCACGGTTGATCTGTCTTTGCCGTTTGCCTGAATTTTTTTTTGCGTGACTATTTTCTTCGTTTATTGTGCGTTTATTCTTTTTTTTTTTTCAGAACTGTGGAGAAAGTGTTACCTCAGTTCTGGGTGGTGTCGTCAGCACCGCGAAATACGACGAGGTCATTGTCACAACATTCAGCGGTAAATATTTATCTCTCGAAAAAAGAAAAAAAAAAAGAAATTATCTTGCTGTTGCAGACGCAAGTCAGCAGAATTTGTTTTACCTTCTTCGTAGTAAAATCCCAAGTCTGGTTCACACTAGAGCACTATATAGCTCCTACGGAGCAGAGTAGCGCAATCCTTTGAACCCCGTGTTTTGCCGACAACATGGCCGACAGAGCGGCTCGGCGCGAGTCACGTGGTACTCAGGGTTCCAGGAGGCGGCCCGCCCTATGGGAGAATACATGGAGATCGACAAAACACGGCGGATTGAAAAACTAACGGCGAGTTCACATTTTTCAAAACTAGCCTGTCGTGAAGTTAGTAAAGCGCTAAACACTTTATCAAAGTTTTAATAATATCGGATGCGTGTGCAAATTTTGAGAAGGCAATTTCCAAGTCAATGGCGTTTGAAGCAGACGATTTTTGCTCGCAGTGGAGATGGGCTTTTCGGGTTGGCCGAAGCGGGTCACGTGAATGGTGTGACGTCGCCGTGTCGTCTGCTGCATGATGCCGCTCAGGCAATTATTTAAAAAAAGTTACGTCCTTGTGTGGCACAAAACTTATCGCATATTATTCAAAAATGTTTCATTATTATGTCAAAAATGATTTCCATTCCGCACATCCCCACAAAACTGAAGAAACAACGATTTTCTCACGTTCTCCATGCATTTCTGACCGCAGTTGGAACCTCCGGGTGTTCGCCGCTAGTCGCCGAGAGACGGCGTTCTAGATTGCGCTACTCTGCTCCGAAGGAGCTATATAGTGCTCTAGTTCACACTTTCCGTTCGAATGTGATCGACTGCTTTGGTTGTGGCCCCCGCTTATGACGGCAGAACACACTAGCGAAATCTATCGGTCAGCACTGCAACACTTCCAGCCTGTGTATGTCTTACGAATGGTTATTTCGCCGTGTGCTCGAAATAACTTAGAAAATATTATAAGCGTTCATTTTTAGTAGATAGCGCGTACATTCCATCTATTAAATACCACAAAACCTTCGGTCTATACTTCGTTTCAGCTTCGATCCGAGCGCGGCCGATGTTATGAGCCAAAGGGCCAATCGAACAGCGCAAAAAGCGCACCGTCATGGCGGGCTCCCTGCGCTTTATAGGGCTAGCCGGCGGAGGAGCGCGCACAGAGAGACGGCGAATAGCGGCTGGTCCTATCAACTGCAGAGAGCACGCCATGATGTTGTGCCTCTTTCGCTGCTTGATTGGCCATTCGGCTCATAACATTGGCCGCGCTCGGACCGAAGCTGAAACGAAGTATAGTTACACGCAGAGCGGAAGTGTTCCACGGCTACCGATAGATGGCGCCACCGCGTGTAAAATAGTCTCTTGTCGTAAGTTATTATAAGTGGTTTCAACCATAGTGTTATTATAATGCACGCAAGAGGTTCATGTGGCGCTAGTGTGCTGACGCAAATTGAAGCAGACAGCAACCAGTTGAAAATTGACTTCCGGTAATGCATTCCTATGGAAAAAAGTGAGCGCATTTTCTCCCTGCGCTCGATCATAAGAGCAAATACCCCGAATAATTCGTACGTACAGGGTAGCTTGGAACATTTCTCATTCAGGCCGACGAAATAATTGGTCAGTTACGGCGTTTATCTTTCAAATTCATCACATTAAAACGGTGCTAAAACGGCTTCGTACGTGTATTTATGTGCACTGTCGGACACTCTTAGTGCGAACACGACGTCGGCGTTTCTCAGCATGAGGGATATACGGGCCAAGCGAACGAAGGACATCTGGAAATTAAGGGAGACGGCAAGAACTACGCAGTAACACTGGATCAGTAACTACCCGCGCATCTACGATCATAATAAATTGAAGGCCACGTAATATATTCCGATTTTAAATAAGTAAGTACGCGCTTTATTCTTTCTGCTCTGTGCGAACTTCTACGTTCAAAATACACCAGCACGATCGAAATCTTTGAGAACAAGTGCAAGATAAAAGCTGCCCGGCAGAGAAAACAATACGGAGTCACCTTTCATAGCCGACGTGCTTTATTATCTACGTTTTGAATGTTTTTTATCCGCTCATGCACGACGGGGTCATTTTCATAAGACTGGCATTTTAGCAATATATAAGCGCCATTGGAATTTTGGCGAGCCTTGAACACACTGTATATTCCTTTCGATTGTAATTTTGCTTTGAATCGTCGCTTGTTTTTACATACGTGCTGCGGAACACACGTTTGGGATTGAAATGTAGCGAAGGTAAACATCGTTCACGAATGAAAAAAAAATGCGCTAACTAAAGTAATTACACTTTTACAATGTTAATGGAGGCACATACTATTCGGTACGACCCAAATATCCCAAGTGTTCCGTGTTAATTTCCGGCGAAGAGACAAAATGCGTTTTCCCATAGGAATGCACAGGAGCACCTCAAAAGTAGGCTGGTTGCTGTTTGCATCAATTTGCGTGACGGAAGTCGCACAGACACTAGTGCCAGTTGAACCTCTAGCGTACATTATAATAACACTATTGTTTCAACGCCTTCGGCTGAATAACACTCGAGCGGAAACATGTGAACCAGTCCTAAAAGCAAACATTGTCCAAAATCAGCGCGGCCGCCCCTCTACAAAGACCGTTTTCAAAAGTTAATAGAGCAACATTGACGGCCGTCATTCCTTGGTAGTATTTTTAGGCTTAGGCTAGGTGGCGTAAGCTACCGCGATCCATCCATTCTTTGGGTACGAAGCCCGTGATTGGATTCGAGTCTTCGCCGAACGCCGACGTCAGCACTCGTGTCCAATACATGCTCAGAATGCGTGATCAAGCAATGGCGGACAGGCGATGGCCCGGACATTTTGAAGAGGTGGTATTGTACGTATTTTCCGGACGATACGTTCTTAAAAAAAATATTGGGTCCTAAAATTACTCTTAGGGGTTGATCATGATGTAGAAAACCCGAGACTGTGGTAAAAGCAGGGAAACTTGGTCGAAGAAGAAAGACAGGTGAAAAGAACGTCTCAAACTCAGCCACTGCATTCATTTCCTCAATGTCTTATATATCCACAACCTAACCACCGACCACCGACGTCACAAGGTCAACCTTTGTTATCTATACAAAGGTTGACCTGGTTATGTTGTGGATATATAAGACATTGAGGATAGGATTGTATAGATAACAAAGGTTGACCTTGTGACGTCGGTGGTTAGGTTGTGGATATATAAGACATTGAGGAAATAAACGCAGTAGCTGAGTTTGACACGTTCTTTTCCCCTGTCTTTCTTTTCGACAAAGTTTCCCAGCTTTTACCACAGTCTCAGGTTTTCTACATCATGATCAAGATCCACCAGCTGGCCTGCGCACACACTGTTTTTTCTTAGGGGTTCTTCTGCATGTCCATATTTTGCACTCTAAAAAAGTTGTTTTCAAGCACTCCCTAAAATGCCTCTTCCTCATAAAAGCTAAGCCTAAAAGGGGTTTTTCTTTTAACCTTCTTTTTTTATTGTAAAAAGTTCGTCCCCCAGTTGACTTTCTATGCACCAGGGGCAATAGTGCTTGAGGCGAAACCGTTCTTCACGAGCTGAAAGGGTTCTTAGGGCGTCGAAAAACCTTTCAAAAACAGAAGTCTTTTTTTTTTATGGTGATATAGTTTGCAGACTACACATTTTTAAAAACTAAAAATCTACGGGGTGCGGGCTATTCATAGGTGCTAACTATACGCGGATTTATTTTTTCTGCACCGCTTATTACAGCCTTGTACACGTTACTCGAAGAATGTAATAGATTACAATTGCAATTCCTCTTGGTTAAGAAGTATTATATTGGATCACTTGAATACTCGAAAAGACAAGTAAATGGCTTTTACTTCAAAAAGTAACAGTTTGTTTTCAGATGAGTTCAGATTTTCAGAGCGACAGATTTTCCTGCCCGTTTTGAAAACGAGTCTTTCGTACTCCTCATTTCTGGATTAGGAAAACCGGATTATAAAATACTTTGGTTTGACTTATCTTTGAATGGAAACTTGTTGAAACAGAGGGCGACATTAAAAAAGGGAAGGGAAAATAGTAACGGCTAGATGTAATTTTAATACTTCCAAAGTAATCAGATTGCCCTTGCGATTACCTCCTAATAAATTTGATCAATCGATTACAAAATTACTTCAAAAGTGATCGATTACGACAAAATTGTATTACTTGTACTCAGTCCCGAACAAGTCTGATTGATTATGACGAGACGTGACTGATTTCGGGATGTGACAGGGTATAATAATGAGGGTTGAGGAACAATGCGACCTTCTCGGTGGGATAATAAAGCGGGCATTTGTCATACTGGGCCGTGTATGACAACGTTTTTTACTTGCGGACTAGAGAATGGCGCGGAGTGTGCGCTAATTGCGGTCTATCGAAGAATATATATATATATATATATATATATATATATATATATATAGAGAGAGAGAGAGAGAGAGAGAGAGAGAGAGAGAGGGGGGGGGGAGAGAGAGAGAGAGATTGTTGTTGTTACAATTTATTAAGAGAAGAATGGCGCGGCGGCCTGGAGAAAACGGTTAACCGAAATCTCCCTTTGTGAATTATACACCGGATGCTGACTGTATTCGGCAAAAAATAAGGTAAATGCAACACATAAACACGCCGAAAAATTCAAGAGAATACGGCTTCGCGGATTCGCGTGTACGCCATTTATCGTAACAAAATTGTTTTTCATCTTTTTCTTTTTTTTTTCTTTTCAGGTTGGGTGTTTGGTTTGTCCTCAGAACACGCAGAAAAGCGTCTCGATCCCAACTACTTGCTCATCTCTCCGGAATCAGCGCAAAAGATACTCAAGCTCAAGTGACCTGTCTTTCTCAATCACATTTTTGCTATCTAATTAACACCTTTGTACGTTATTTTAAACTTTCTTTTACAACCAAAAGTGATCAAACAAAAACAGGAAGCCCGCACAAGCGTAGCACCAACTGATTTAAAAAGGGCGCGGAATATGCTTGACGCCATCTCCGTGAGATGGTAGCACCAGTTTACGAAACTGACGAAACTCAATGAAACCGGGAAGGAAAGACATGAGACTGGGCGATGATGCGATCGATCAGCGCTGTGAATCTAGGTTTTTATTCCAATTGTGTAGATGCGTTGTGGCCGCCCGAAGAGCATGTCGGTTGCAAATGAATGCGTAGATTACCTAGAATGGTTACTCGGCCATTTAATCCTCAAAATCTAAAACGTGTGTTTGTTTGCTTTTTCGTTTTAATTTTGTTTTGTTCGCAAAGCATTTGGGAGAACCAATCGCTGCAATTCACGCAGGGAGATGGGCCAATGGCTAGACTGAAAATATATTTAGGTGCGAAACACACAGTTTTGTTTGGGTCTGTCAGCGACTACAGTTCTCTGGACTTTATGCCTTATTACTCGAGCAGTGTTGGGTAAAGTACATCTAAACGTACTTGAAGTACAAAGTAAACGAGAGGCTATGTAGTTCAAGCAAAGTAGTGAGAACACCAGGAGCAATGTACTTGAAGTAAAGTATATAAATACAATGTTCTTTTAAACGTAAAGTAAAAGGAATTTTTAACACAGTGTTTCATGTTGCCCTTTCTGCCCCCTATGCCGTGTTCCTTATTATTATTATTATTTTTTAAGTGGTACGCATTGTCCCTGGGGTTATCGAGGGTGCATCAGGTATTTTCAGAATTGGCGGCGAATATTCGATAAAGTCAAGTAGCCACAGGGTAGTTGTTTTACTCTCGCCGACAAACTACTTAACACAATCAACTTATAAGGCACGTATGTGTAGACAAAGCATCATTTTTGTGGTACAAAATTTAACGTGACCAAATTTGAGGAACGTACTTTGAAGTCGAGGGTCGAACTTTCCTGGGAAAGTACCAGAAAAAAGAATACCCTATAGTAAAGTACAAGTACATGCTCGGAGAATGCACTTCAAGTAAAGTCCGCTTTGTCGAAACCTACTTGAAGTAGTACTGTAAGTACAATGTACTTTAAGTATTTCCCAACACTGGTTAAGAAACGTATAGGGCCAGCGAGTATTGTCCGAGACTCTTATTACAGCTCCGCAGCCAATGATTTTGCGGCGTTAGCTGATAACAATGGCGGAGAACCAGCCGCGAAGCGAGACGCAAAAGCTATGGTGTCTGGAACGCGTATCCGACTGTTGAGGTTTCCGTGCCCCAAAACAGTGGTTCCTCCATTTCCGCCTTATGACGTCATATGACGTCATATGACGCGGTGGTGGACATGGCAGACGCCTGTTCTGCCGCAGGTCGCTCTCCAGTATGACAGGCCACGGAAGCTTAGGCAGTCCGGGGTTGGGACGCTGCGACGACAGCGACACTCGCGTTTGCTGGTGCTTTTTGCCTGAAATTCTACGACCAACCGCCAGGATCGCGACCATTCGACAGTCTGACACTCCGGCCTTTTGTGACGTCATTTGTTGCCACTTCGGGACCACTTTCGATGCATGGTCGGAATGCGGAGCGCAAGTTCGTCTGCTTCTTTTGCAGGGGTGGTGATGACGTCAGAGCGCCGAGCTTTGATTGGTTCTGATTGACGGATAGCAGGTAGACCTCAAGGTATCTTGCTTTGACGCCTGCCCACTATCCTTCAATCAGAGCCAATCAGAGGTTTGCGTCCTTCTGACGTCATTGCGACTCCTGCGCGTGAAGCAGACGACTTGCTCTGCGCCCAGAACGCTGAACACACCAGTCGGAAACGCGTTCCAGGAATCGTATATGTGAACGGGCGAACACGCGAACATGCGCTTATTTGGCTGTCGGTGACTAAAGATGCCGACAAATCAATACACGAACATACCACTTCGCGTCGTCCCGTCGAAGGGAGGAGGTGGAGCAGTTGGAAGCCAAGGTTGCCAAGGAGAGGGAAAACTACCAGCTGGCCACTTACTCGGACAAGGGCGCGGTGTCGGCCGTGCCCTTCTTCGGCATCGAGGACTCCTTCGTGCTGAACAGACGGGACGCCTCGTACACGCTCAGCATCCAGGTGCAGACGGCCATCGACACCATCTTGCTGCAGGTGATTTTGACACCAAAGCCGCCGTCACGGGCCGCTCGTACGCCGTAGACATGATGACGCGACCATCTGAGGACACTTCTGTGGCATGTCCCGAGCATGTTTGCTTCATACGTATGTCTGCAGAAAGTTGTTGTTCGGCCAATGTGGCAGGACCGTCGCACAGGGAACAAACACGTCACAGACAGTGTCTGCACTGTGTTTTTTGTATCATGTATTAGCTGTGTGACCACAGCTCTAAAAAACCCTAAAGGTTACTTTACTGTTTTTTGTTTTTGTTTTTTATACAGTGAGTGCTTAGCTTTTTACGGCTACAGCCGTTATTATGGATTTTTTTGTGGATCGCTCCAATGACTCCGATAACAGTATTCGACACTCTTCCGATGCCTTTGTACATGCATCGTATCTTTATCGGATATCGTTATCGGAGGTATCGGAAGGATCTACAAAAATTCCCTAGTGGCCAGGTTTCGCAGCGGATCTTCGGGTGTGTGTGCTTTCTGTAGGAATCGTGGATTCCCACTATATGTAGCGGAGAAAAAATTTTCATCTAAATTTAGTGAATGCATTTTCTTGCTCAATATGGCGGATAGATTTAGCGGTTGCATTTTCTCACTGCATTCAGCAAAGCACATTTTGCCGCTAAATATAGCGAAAAAGTTTTCCCGTTTAGTAGAAAAGTTAATGCATCTATAGGTTCGATCGAGAAAATCAAACCCGATTTTTCGGTCCGCATAAGCAAACCACGCATCTCAACAAGCTGATACTCCGTCAGAATGCGACGTTAGCGCTAAAGATAAAATGCGAAAGTTCGAACACAGGACGTTGCCTGGATCGAAAGACTGAAGAAACACAAAACTTCTCGATGAGCCGGCATCCACTTAAGCCTAATTCACATCAAACAAGCATTTGAGATTTTGGGTGCCTGTAGCAATTATGTCAGTAAAAAAAACTTGTCAGAATAAAAAAAAAAAAAAGGAAAAACAGAGGACACTTCTTTATTTAGAAGAAAGGCTGCAGATGTTTACTTTCTCAAATTACTGTTCGATGAATATTAGGCGTAGGTGGGCGTCGGCTCATCAAGAAATTCTGTTTTTCCTTTGTGTCTTGTGATCCAGGTAAAGGCCTGTGCTCAAACATTCGCATATCATCATCACCGCTAGCGTGACATTCTCGCCGAGTTTCAGCTTTCTCGCGGATTACCCCGAATGATTCGCGGATATCCGCAGCAAACTGTCGGATGTGGATAAAAATGAATCAGACTTGGCGGATTTCGGATCGGTTGTGTATGTACGCGGGTCCTGATCTAAATTTTTGCCAAGGCGACCTCTGAACGTGTGCGACCGCACAGTGGAAAATAAATAAATTAGTGATACTATGAAGTGCGTCATCGAATGTATTGTGCGGCAAAGTACTCTCTTAAATAAAAGGTGTATTGGAAAGAAATTTGCTTTTTACGTCAAAAAAAAATTGATTCTCACCAAAGATCGCTTTAGAATGATCTGTCCCGCCAAAAATGCTGTCCCTAGAAAAAAGTAAAGAATGCAGGAGAATCAGTCGTCCCGGGAAAGCGTGTTCTTGTTCGGCAGGGAAAGAACGGAAAACGCTCTTTGGGCAAAGCAAATCCAAAACGGAAAAGCCACAAGAAATTAGAAAAAGCCTGCAAGTGGTTTCTTCGCCTACAAGTAGATCGAGGAGACTAAATTCGATCTTGTGGAGTGGTGGAACTTGCGCCAGCACGAGTCTCCGCGCCTCATTTTTGTAGCGCAGTTCGAGCATGCCACCCCAACTTCAGGTGCACCAACGGAGAATGCGACATGTCATTGGCGAGTATTAATTTAAGATAAACGAACCAGTCTGACACCGCCCCAGTTGACGATATTCTGTTTCCTCTAACAGCAACTTCGACAAGTTTAACGTTGCGTGTGTGTACGTTTTTTTTTTTTTTGTTTTTTTCCTCGACAGTTGAAATTGAGTTGTTTTTAAGTATAGAGTTCCGAGCAAGCAGTTGAGGGTTCGTGTTTAAAACTGAAACCGATAGGGAGGTGTTGCCATTATTGAATATTGTGATGTTTCCCCAGTGGTGCACTCGCGCCTCAACACATATAAGCGAGTACTTTTCTGGGGTGAGTCCTTTCCTCTGCCACTTTTTTTATTGTTCGGCCTAAATAAAATGACACAATGTTACTAGTCTCTCCATCATTAATTTTCATGATTATGAAATATCCGTCTGCTCGAAGTGGGTCTTACGAAGCAATAAGGAGAAAAAATATTAGCACTTTCTTTCTATTGAGCGAATCTTTTGGACAGAGTGTCAGTATCGCGGACTCCCCAGACGATTTCATAACTACGATAATCTTTCCAGCGATGCGAAGCTAAGTCTCGGGAAGGATGATCGCTAATTTTAGAAATACGATAAAACAGAATGCGATGAAATTAATTTCACCTTGTTCTGACGCGAACAGCACTTTAAACAAAAGGTAAACAGACGGCTTATAGGATACCATTCAGATGTTTTTGTAGTTTTTTATTCATGATTGGTTTTGTGATGTAAAATGAATGCGCGGATTGAAGGTCGGATGCGGTTCTGAGTTTTGCGGATGCGGATGAAAAGTCTGTGCATGTGGACCGGATGCGGACGATCAAACTGTTATCCGCGCAGAGCGCAACCTATAGTTTTATTATGAGGACCGAAAAACCGGATTTCATGTCTTCAATCTAACTCAGTATATGTATGCCTGCACCAGAGCGTACATTGTGTCGGCTGTCTTCAGGGTTCATCTGCAGGACACGTCAATTAACCGGGACTTTTTGGTTCATGGGATTTTCTGGGCACTGCACATGACCAGTTTCCAATCTACAACGGAGAAATGTGCTACTCTTAGACGAACTGCATTCGAGCTGTCTAAACCTCTCTAGAACAAATTTGTCATTTTTTTTTGTTTTTTTTCCTGCTTTTTATGCGCTGCTCAATTTTTGTAACATATTCGCAGGCCAATTTTTTCTCCGCATATCTAAGATGAACAGTAGTATTAACTACCTGAATCGAAACTCTTGGTAGTACATAAAAAAAAAAAACCGAAAGAAAGGGACGTATTAGATAGGGAAGATTTCTTTTACCGTGACAATGTGAAGCGCTCTTTTATTGAAATATGAGACTGGGCATATGGTTAGAAGAACACCTGCGGGGATCTAAATCTGGACGGTACAGTCTAAAATCACATTGATAGCAGTGGAAACACAAAATTGTACAGCGTGCCCGTGCCCCCGCCCCCGCACCCCCCCCCCCCCCTCAAAAAAAAAAAAAGAAGAAAAAAAGTTGTTTTTTTGTTTATTTCAGAAATAAACTATGTATCGCCGAACGCTCATTCTCCGCCCACAAAGTTTTGAATGAGACGCCCAAGTTTCAGCACAAACCGATATCTTATTCGAGAGTTACACGTGATTTTTGGAAATTTTCAATGGGGCCCATTTTAGCCCGTTTTCCGTAAACGGTGCCATAGAGCTACATGTATTCCAGAGCTCTGTCGACCGCTATTTTCCCTTTAAAACTTAAAAAAAAAATCCCCGATAACTTTTGAATGAGATGACGGTAACTGCTGAGACATTTTGCATCTGTTTCGGACTCTAGCGCCACATTTATTGCCGCGTACAGTGCGTAGCTTTGCAACTGCTCCGAATGATCCATTAGGACTCGTGCTTTAATATAACCGCTAGAATATGCAGTCGCATTATTTCGGGTTCTTACGACTATTAGATGCGGAACCCTCCGTCATAAAATGCAAGTTCCTCGTAATTATTTTTTATTTTTTTTTTGTTTTTATTTTTTTGTTTTGTGGCGTGACATTTTTTTTTTTTTTAGAGTTGCGCTCGTTCTCGTTTCACTTTACACGTCTGCGTAATTTTATACTATCGTTTTAGTGCAACGTACCTGTGGACTTACTGGACAGCGACAAGAATTCCGCCGTTGTCAGCTACACGCCGTGCGATTCTCAGGCAAGTTGCAATGAACATATATATGTGCATATACGGTCTGTCGCAGCATAAAATTTCCAGCGAAAAATTCCTCTCAAACTTTCCCAGAGAACTAAACGCAACTCGATAAAAACGCGTTGCATAAACACACCGAGAAGGTTTCAGGTTGACAATTTACATAATCTATCAAATTTTCAGCTCGATGGTATTTACATTGGCATTGACATCTTAAGAAACGCAGGGTGTAGCTGTTTCCGAGCATATTTCTCGCTCCTCATTGCAATGAAATCTCGACATTAGCCGACCAGAACGAAGAAGAACAAGAGCATCAACATACTACGCCCTGCGTTTCTAAAACTGTCGGCGACTAAAGTCGCCAGAACGCACCCTAAAAAAATTACAAACGATTACACAAAGTGTGGTGCGATTTACAGCGCTAGCTGCCGCGTTGTGGAAAGACAGGTGAAGGAGATCTGCCCTCAGCCGACTGCTTACAGCGACTGCTTACAAGGGGAAGGGAAAGGCGAGCGAGAGAGCCTTGCCGCGTGTGAGGAACGACGTGGTGAGGGAGAGCAGTGCTTCTGCTGTAAAGTGGGGTCTTGCGTTCGTACATGAGCATTTTTTGTCGGGAAGGGACACTAATGGCCACCGCCGTACAAATTCCTCGAGTTTGCCTTCCTTCGGAACATGAAGACAACGAATCACGGCAAAGAGTAAAAAAATCCCGAGGCAAGACGAAACTCAAAATTCAATTACAGCCAAAAAAGGTGATTTTTTTTAGAACACTATAAACTTTACGGCTTAAGAAACGTGTACCATGCAGGAGAGCGGCAACTACCTCCTGGCGACGTTCCGGTGTCAGGCGAACACGTCCCGGCTGGAGGTCAAGCTGCGCACCATCGAAGGCCAGGCGGGGGTGCTGCGGGCCTACGTGAGCCCCGTGCTGCAGCCCAAGTGCTGCCAGCTGCGCGAGTACCAGCTCAAGCCGCTCTCGCTCCACTGCAGGACGCACACGCCGCACGAAGACAAGTGAGGGAGCTCCAAATATGGCTCCACCATTCCGATAACCGCCGTCTCTGTCCCCTGGGCTATGAAAGGCGTTCTTAACGTTCGCAGTAGCTCTTCTTTTACGGAGTGTCAGGCGTCCACATCCCAGTACGTCAACTGTTTTTTTTTGCCGGGGTAATAGGCACTGGAAAGGTGGCCATACATTTTTCCAACGCTTATCGCTTGGGTGAAAAATGCCGAGTCACTGGGCTGCAGACCCGTGCGCGCCGTTTGATATTTCGTAGAAGAGAGCTACTGCGAATGCTCAGAACGTGCACTTACCACAGCCATGCGCAGAACGTAAACAATGGAATGGTCCCTACTTCGCTTCACAGAGAGTAGCCGACGCTACGACACGAAACGGCCAATCAGGCAGCACCAAAAACGCAACGTCATGGCGTCCGTAACCTTTCTGTACTTGTGCTATCATCGTATAAACGAACGAAGCGCTATGAATTCATGAAAAAAATTGTCAAGGTGCAGGCGAGCTGGTGTATGTTGATCATCATGTTAAAATCCTGAGGCTGGGAAGTCTCCAGGATATGTTCGTATCCTCATAAATCCGAGCCCTTGAATGCGCTCGGATTTAGGATGAAACGAAGTGTATTTATCGAAGCTCCGGTGCTAAACTAAATTATTTGCCTAAAAAAAAGAAAAGAAACTCCAGTGTGGCAGTCCACGGAAGTTTCGGCAGCCAGAAGTTGGGACGCCGTGACGGCAGCGGCACTCGCAACCTTGCCGTTGGCATTTCTATGAGCAACCGCCAGGATCGTGAGATACAACAGCCTGACACTTCGGATTCTGTGACGTCAATGGTTGCCACCTTGTGGTACCACTTTTGATGCATGGGCAGCAAGGACGCTAAACACACCAGTCGAAGACGCGCTCCAGGCACCATAGTTCAACTCCCTGATCGTTAGCGGTGCAATGACAGTTGGCGCCGCCGTGCAACACCGGCCGATAACGATCCAGTCAACTGTCCTTGGCTTAACAGTCGACAGCGCTCGTGTATCTATAGGGTAGCCATATAAACAGCGATGAAAGTGGTCCGTAGAAAGAAAAAAGACAACGACTTGTGCGTCCAGTTGTCGCACGGGCAGTTTGAAGCGATTGGTTTCTTCCGAGTTAGCCGAGTCCGCGGACCTGGCACGGACCTCGCCGGAACAGGAAAAAGCGACAACTTAACGGGTTTAAATTCTTGATAACCGTTGTACGAGAGGTCCGCGGATCCATTTTTCACGTTTGCCACGTGATATAGAACTTTCAACATGTCCGTGGACCTGTTCCCGGATACGTTTCTATGGTCCACGGACCAGCTTTTGAGTTTTGCATGCTTTTCTTCCGGTGGGAACACGGCGGATTTCAAACCGCAAAAAAGGTGACGTCACCGATTTCGTATGAACTTGTCCGGGGACATGTAGGCCGTCCTGTAGCCGTCCGAATACACCTTAAAGGGCCATGAAAGGATTTTTCTACTTTCGCTAAATACTACTGAGAATCACACTCCCTAACGTTGATAACCGAATAAACTTGCCTTAGTTTTTATTTATAGGCAATGGCAGTCGGCAAATAAATTCGACAAATAAATACATCGTTCATCACCTCATCTCGGACCCAGAACAAACGGCCTTGTTGCCTGGTGCCTATGCTATGCCGCCAAAGTTAAGCATAGCCACGCGCTGGGGTCGGCGAAAAAACCCGTGCTGAGCTCCAGGGATCGTTAGAGTTCGGCTCTTCTCATCACCGCAGTGGTAGGACACGAGCCACTCCGAGTGTCCACCGAGGCATTGATTGTTACGAGCTGAAGTCGAGTGCTCACGCAGTTCTCGTATCCAATCCATGACCCTCGCTCGACTGTCGTCAGGCGGGTGGTTCCGATCCCACAATTACGTCATCCAGCTTTGCGAAGGCAATACTGAATGAAACAAATAGCCCCTTGTTGTCACCGCAATTTCGCCGTGACAAAAAAAAAATTTTGAATCAATGGCGGTCCGTGCGAGTATACTTGGGTCAGACTAGGACCAGTACGCCTCTTTGAAGTCATGAACAATCCAACCCGACATTGTTTCATGACCTCTTTAAGGGCAAACAAAAAAAAAAAAAAATCAGTGGGGGAGATTTCTAAACAGTCCCTGCGCGTTACTCGTATCCCAACGCACTAGGAAGAAGGACTTGTTTGAAGACCTTTGATGAATGCACGTGCAGGCCTCTGAACGTGCTGACACTCCGCGGCACCTTCAGCGTGGGCGAGATGCACTCTTGGGTTGTGCTGAGTCTTCCCGAGGTTCCCGAGAGGGCGCCGGCCACGGACCCGGCCACGCTGTACTTTGTCTCTACTTTCCTGGGCACCGTCTTGGACTGCGTTTACACGTAAGACCGCGAGTGTACATGCTTTTCATATATTGTATATAGCGATGCTAGAGATTTTATGTCGTTCAAATATTCATTTTTTTTAAAGAGTCTATGCAACAATATTTACTCGAAAATAGGTCGACCTCTTTGTTAGCAATGTCATCACGTCTATTTTTCTGCAAAGCTCAAGAAAAGTTAATCATTGAAATTTACGGAATTAAGAGGCCAGGCGAATGACGAGGCACCGATAACGTCAAACCGAAAAAAAGAAGAAAAAAAAAAAACTGTGTTTTGTGAATTAAACTTTTTTTTCCAAATGTTTTCATTTTTAAATTTTTTGTCTTTTTCTGTTTTTCTTTTTTTTTTTCTTTGTAAGTTTAAGACTGGTTTCCGTGGGTTCTGCGAGAAAGTAGACAAGCAAGTAGCTGTTCATAAGAAAAGGTCGATCTATTTTCCAGTAAGTATCATAACTTTAGCAAATCTGGCGGAAAGAAAGGCCTTACAAAAAATGGACCAAAATAACTCTGCTGCGTGTACCTTTTCTTTCTTTTTTGCGGAGTGGCCACCTAAAAGCTTACTGTCCCTTTGATTTGTGGGCGGCACCTTACGTACTTTCCCTGCAGGCGCGGCGAAGCCACGTTCAAATCGGATAACATCTCGACCATTTCCATCTTGAAGGATGTGCTCACTAAGGAAGCGACTAGGAAAAAAATCAGTTTGGATATTTCCTGCGGTGAGTCAGGTTCCTATTTTTATCAAGCTGCTCCAGCGGAAATGACGGGTTCGCCGTAACTACCTACCTAAGTCACACGTTGGGCCATTCCCAAGAATCGTCGGGAAAAATACCTTCTCTGTCTTTTTTGAATCCAACATTCTTTATTATCTATAGGGAGTATTCACTGAGCGCCATATTTGTGGGGGCTGTTCAGAGCGCATGCTCAGAAGGAGCTCACATTAATAGGTTGCAAAGGCCGGCAATCTTGATGGTGCAAAAGGCACGTGGCAAAACAACTGTGGAAGCTCGCCATCAGCACGCGTTCAGCGGTCGCGCACACAGCTATGGCCGCCACTGAATACTTCCTATAAACTCACTTTAGAACAATCAAAACACGCGCAATACTCACATACGACTTATTTCCACACAGAGGAGTGCGCGTGCACAGCCTTACGTGCCTCCGGGCGCACGGGTATACCCCCGTACCTTTGACATCTTACCCAGATGCTTAGCCAGAGAAGCGGGCGTTGACGGACTGGAGAGAAGGATACAGTATAATCTAAAATAGCAATAACGTGTCCTGCTGTGGTCATGATGGAGTGTAAGTAAACGTAATAAGAGGAAACAAAAATTGAAGGTGGGTTACGGCGGCGCCCATGAAACAGCTGCTGCGAAGCGTCTAGACTTCCTGTCACATCATTTAACAACAGTCTGCTTATTGTCGTAGTTTTACTTCTAATTGCCTTTCATATACGATGTAGAATATTCAGAAATCATCCACAAATGCATGCGGGTGTGCGTGCGGGTGTTCAGACGTACCATAGTCACTAGTGTCGTAGTATTGCGTATAGGAGCGAACGCAAGCGCCGTGCGTTTGCGTAAGCGTTGCGTGTTCCACGCTGCGCAAGCGCGTCGTCGCCATGCGCTAATTCAAGACCGCAGTTTGGGCTCCTGCGCAAGCGCGCTGGGGAGCACGCAACCCTTACGCAAACGCACGGTGACTGCGTTCGCTCGCATACGCGACACTAAAACTCACCACTGACACCAAGATACTCAGGGCGCTGCATTCATTATTACTGTCTTATTAGTGCTACGCAGCCAATCAGGTTGCTGCGTTGATTGATGAGAATGTCGATACAAAGCAAGAAGCGTGAACCTGTTATACGTCACTTCCTGAATTTATTATGATGTCCGCGACTGCTCTAATCCGGACACTTTGCGAAAAAGTCGTTGAGGGATTCGGCGGCTGTGATTGGCCGGCACCGCGCTTGGCCTTGACGCTGGCTAGTCATGGCGTTCGAATTCCTGGTCGACTTTCTCGCCAGGCGTTCATGTTAGAGCCCCTGGTCGGGTATATTCTCGCTTTCATTTGCGTTATTTTCTAAATAAATTTCATCCTTATATGTTTATGTGCGAATGCTCGTTCAAGAGTCAACAATCTGAAACTTCAGTGTGTCTGTCCGGCAAAGCACTTGAAGAGCAAATTGCTGCAGACTACCGAGTAAGTTTGACGTATGACGAAACAAAAATATGTGTAAAATTAAAAAGAAGAAACTGCGTTAATAATGAAATGTCATGCTGCATTTCCCAGCGCAGATTATTTTTATGTCAAAATAATTTTTAACCTCACGTCAAGCTCCCTTCGTGGATTGAATGCAGCAATCGAGAAACCTGCGAATATTTCAGACATCAACGAGGACAGCATTCTCCACACGCTCAAGCTGATCGATCCAAAACTTGAACATCAACTTCTTCTGGCGAAAAAAGTGCAACTTATCGACGCTCTCAAGGTATGTTGTCAAAATAAGATAATACGAATATTGGGTGACGTGAGCCACTATCATCTCGCGATACCGTCTTTTTTTAACCTAATTATTCATATTTTATTACTTCGTCCGTAAAACCGAGGTCACACTGCTGATACATTATGCAAACGAAGGACTGCGTACAGGTTGGAACGCGAGTCACCGCGAGATTCGTGCTTCGAATGCAGCATGGCAATGCGTTCAGGCATGAACTTGGTACGCGGCATTTGAACCGCGGATAATGCGGTAACTCGTGTTAGCAGACTGTCTTTTTTTGTATGATGTGTAAGCAGAGTGACCCCGGCTTAAGGCGCTGTTGTTGGGTGTGTTACTCATTCCAAAATAGTTTTTCCCAGGCAGATGCTGTATAAACCATAGGGAGAATTCCCTCGCGGCCATAGCTCTGTGCGTGACCGCTGAGCCCGTGCTGACGGCCAGCTTAAGCCGTTCTTTTGCCACGTGCATTCCGCACCATGAAGATTGCCGGTCTTGGCAGCCCATTAACGTGAACTCGTTATGAGCACGCGCCCTAAACATCGCCCTCAAATATGACGTCCACTGAATACCCCTCATTCGCCGCGACCCTGGTATATATGGTGCTTTAAACGCATCTTCGACCGGTGTGTTTACCGCGTTCAAATAAAGTGTTTCCTCGATTTCCGCCTTGTGACGTCATACAAATGTCATGTGGTCACCGGTCGCGATCCTGGCGGTGTCCCAGCAGCGGTGCTAAATGTGACACACACCTGTTCAGCTGGGCAGGTTGCTCTCGACGCGTGACAGTCCACGGAAGATTTGGCAGCCAGAAGTTCGGCATGCCGGCAACGACAGCGACACTCGCGTACGCTCATTTCTATACGACCAACCTCCCCGATTCGCGACATCTGATGGCATGACAATCCGGCTTTTATGACGTCATTTGTTGCTACTTCGGGACCACTTTTGATGTACGGGCAGCAAACAGAACGCTAAAGCTACCAGCCGGAGGCGCTCTCCTTGCAGGCACCATATACCTGGGCGTGGCCTGCTCTGTACTCGCAAAGCCTGACACTTCGACGACGAAGCCAGAGTGCCCGGTCGCAGATTTGGAGCGCGAGGATCTGGTAGCGTGGGGCATCAAAGAGCCATTTCTCGGGGAACCTAGACGTCAGCGTACAGCTTTTGCAGCGGCGAGGACCCGAAACACACTTGTTCGCTCGGAAGAAGTGTGTTCCGGCGTCTCGCCGCATCGGGGCGCCAGTCACGTGGCTCTCCTCTCATCCGTTGTCTGCCGCTGCACCTTTTCCATTTCGGCGGCCGCTTCTGGTGGCGATCTGCCAGGCTTTGTCAGTATATAAAAGGCTATGGCTAAACTCACCAGCCGGAGACGCGCTCCCTGCAGGCACCATATACCTGGGATAAAACGTCTCGTCACGAAAGCTCTTGGAATGAACTGCCTGTCTTCGGTACTCGAGGCGCAGCAGGAGGAACCTTCGGGGAAGGGTGTGTGGCTCGAAATGAAGTATGGTATAGTCTCCGACATCGTGAGGTACGCGGGGAGTGCGACTTATTATGTTAATGGTTCTAGCGTTTTGAATCGTTCTTCGTTGCTCTCATCACCTAATACCACAATCTCACTGGCTACGGGGAGATAACGAGCTGCATGAAACTCGCCAAGTCCTCCGTTTTCTAGACTGTCTGGGATCATGCTACAGAACACCTTAACTTATAAATAATAAAAAAGGGTAAAAAAATCATCCTGGGCTTTGTTTCGGGACGGTTTATCTCTGACGTGTGACGCACGTCCGCAATCTTCTACACGTTACCTAAAAAAAAAAAAAAGTAACCGATTACAGTTATAATTACGATTCGGTTAGAATTATTCAGTTAGGTTACTCGAATGCATGAGATAAAAAATAAGTGGTCGTTACTCGAAAAAATAGTCGTTACATTTCCGATTATTTCATATTATCAGGGCGACAGGTTTCCACTCATGATGTAGAATACCCGAGACTTTGGTAAAAGCTGGTAAACTTGGTCGAAGAAAAAAGACAGGGGAAAAAAACGTGTCAATCTTTATTTACTGCCCCTTTAAAAGCGGTGGGTCTTTTATACTGCCCATTATTGAATTAAAAGCATCGAATTATAATCTCATTATCTCTGCGCGTGGGTAATACTTTGGTAGGAAACTTTTACAAACAAAGGGCGCCATCAGAAAAAGGAGGGGGACAAGTAACGCTTACCACTAATTATAGTCACTTCCAAAACTAATCACACTACTCTCGTGATTCCTTCCTAATAAAGGTAATCGAATGATTACAAAATTACTCCAGAAAGGTAATCGATTAGAAGTAATTTGATTATTTGTAATGACTAGCGTACAAATATGCGACTCATGGCCCCTGTGTTGTTGTTCGTGTGTGTGTGCAGGATTTGAAAATGCACGAGGGCAATGTGGACTTTCTCGCCGACGAGTACAGAGACATCCTGGAGAACAGCGAAGCGCTCGAGGCGGAATTCAAGCGCCAACCCTGCCACCTGGAGAGACTCTATGGCGAGTTCACGTTTTCCCTTGTTCATGCATCGCGGTCTCGGTGCAACAGCTTCATATATACAGCAGAGGAGACACTCGTCGTTCACGTATGCGTTTCGTTACTGATGACCGACATGTGGAACATCGGGGACAGGAGGAGTGCGTACACGAATGTATAAGGACGCGGCTTTTGTTAATTAAGCTACATAATTGTATGTAGCCCTAGAGAACGTTCAGTGGCATTCCGTCAGCCGGAACTGAAGTTGACTCCAGTGAGCCTGTAACAATATATATATATATATTTTTTTTTAACGTAGATATTTTGTGTGGGAGGAGGACTATCAGGTGGTTTGCGTTTATGAAACGTTTTTAGTGCCTTGAAAATATGGTGGAGAATAAACATTAAGATAATGTAAATCGTGATTTAAATAAGACTCGCTAGTACTAGATAATTTAAACCCAACCTTTCCCGCAACAATGATCCAATACCTTTCTTTGTTTCATTTACCGTTTGTTTAATATTTGATGCTGTTGATGTGCATAACACCAGGTTCCAGTGTTGTTTTCCGCTCCGAAGCTGGAAATGTTGTGGCAGGATCAACCCGCGGGGGGGGGGGGGGGGGGGGGGGGGGGGGGGCGAGACGGGTAATGGAGTGTGCAAAGAGACATAAACAAACAATTTGTGAACTGTGAAGTCTGGGTAGTATATACCATCCCGTTGTCGTGCTCGTGCGGAAAAGTATATGTCGGGCAGTCAGGCAGATCCATTAATGATAGATTAAGGGAGCATGATCGGGCCATGAGATCTTCTCCCTCCGGCCACTTGGCGGTACACTGTGCCAGGTGCGGGTGTGCGCCACTTTTTACTCCCACTGCCATTGTGACGCGGCACACTAACCAAAGAACGAGGGGAATTAAGGAGGTTTTGGTCACGTCACGGTGCGAGGAGGGTATGTGTGTCAGTTCGCCGTCCATTGCCTTGTTTGGCAAAGAGATTACTTACATCTGTCGTTGCGAAGCGAGATAGTAATCATGTTGATAAGATTGGCGGTGTTTTGTCTTTTGGTGGTTCGAGGGCTTCATTTTTCTTCTCAATAAAAATTCAGCTGTAAGTCAGCGCTTGTCCTGTACATTGCTCTCACTCGTCCTTCGACTAGTTTTTGCGCTTTTTTTTTTTTGTTGTAATGCATCACCAGCTCGCCCGAGTTACCACTCTTATACATATGCGTCTGATAACCCTGACATCCCTCTCGGCTCCCCGCCGTTTACGTGAATGCAAGGAGTCGGGGAGGGATACCCGCCTGTTCCGCCCAACACTGACGTCGCCTACGTCTCCCTCCAAATGGCATCCCCCGTGTGAATGCCCCTTTCGCGAAACATCCACAGGTACATGGAGGCCTAGAAATGTAGCCATAAAAGTAGGCCAGAGAATCGTTTCGCTGGTGCCGCCTGAAGGAACTCCCCGAGGCAATGTAATCGGAGATTTTGCCAAGTGGGTCGCGAGACACTTTACTTGTACTGCTGATGGAGTCAACGCACAGTCCAACTTTGAAGGGGCCATAAAATGATTGTTCAACTTTTTCCTCCTTCATTTTCCTCCTCAGCTCGAAAAGTGAAATGAAAAATCGCGTGGTCGTGACTTGCTTGTGCACCGGTGCGATGGCTTCAAGCTTCCACCGTGCTTTTTAAGCACCTCAAGGAACTTGTCATTCCCAAGTGGTGATAAGTGCCGTCATGGAACTCATTGGCCACGAACGCGGATGGAAAAATTTTTCGTCGGATTGATCGTTGACAAGCGCAGACGTCCAAGTGACGCAGTGCTCGTGTCCGATGCGTGAGCTGGGTTACCCTTAGCAAAAAGAGGCCGTACTTCAAACGTAGTTGAAATATATTTAGTACGAATATTCATTTTGTATTTATTCTGTATTATTTTGGCCGCATTCGAAATACGCGCGTAATGTATTCAAAATACATTATAAATATGAATAAAAAAATATTTTAGATATACCAAAAATATTATCCCTTCACACTCAAGATGCCATTTGTGCATTAAAAACCGGCTAGACATTTTTTTTTTATTTTCGATTTTGTCAGCAAATGGTGTCCCTGTGGTATTTGAAGGCACTACTAGATACATCTCACCAAGGTACATTAGAAACGAACACAAACACAAACACCATGACGCACTGAACAGCCCATTCACAGTCCCGTTGACTGCTCTAGAGCCTTATATAGCCTACATATTGAAGGTAATCATTTTTTCGGTGACCACCTCTGCGCTTATTAAGGTTCCAAGTATTCGATCTTCTCCTCGGGAGTCTGTCAAAGGGGAAACAGTGTTTTGAAGTTCGTGGACGATATCTCTTAGTAAAAGGCATTGGTACAACTAATAACAATTCGGCGCAGTCCTTAAAACAATATCCACACAAACGGCTCATAAAACACATCTTATTGCTTCTCTGCGTAGCACCACTCAGGACGAAGCAAATCAAGGCATAATCTTCACATTAAAATACTGTAAACGACTTTATTTTCGTGAGGACCTAATTCTCGCAAAGTTCGCGAATCGCCTACAATTTCGAAAAATAGGTCCCGAGAACAATTCCGGAAAAATGCAAAAATATTAAAATCTATATTGCGATCTCAGCGCGTCGCGAAAATTAGAATTTGCGAATTATTCCAAAACTCCAACTTTGACCTAAATCGCGAAATTGAGCCCGCAAAAAATAAATATTTTACAGTAGTTGTTTTGCATTTCCATTTTAGTAGTTGACTATTTAATATGGTAGTTAATATCACTATATTAAAGTCACTATTCACATCACGTACAATGGTGAGTATACACGTTCAGTGAACTAACATTGTGCTAACAAAACCACTCCAAACGTATCTGGTCACAGCACCTGCTGAAGCTTTCCAGCATCAGCAAATATTGTAGTTGTAGTCCCCGAACCCCGTTTGTGATTGGTGTGCAAGGAACTGATCAGGTGTGTCCTTGATAGAAAAAAGGAAACAATAACATAAACTGGGCTGATTTATCAGTGCGATGCTCCGCAATTCAGTTGACAAACTAATCAAATGTTGTATTTAGGCGCTTCAGTGTACTCCATATCTACTTGAAGTGAACTTCTATAAGGGGAGCTTTTTAATATTTTGGTAGTTTAAGTCAAACTACCAAAGTATTGAAGTCAAAAGGTACTTCGAGTATAACACAACAGTATTTACGATTTTCAGGTATTTTACGAGTATTCTGCACGTATTTTTGATTGCTCCATTTTTTTAGGGTTGGAGTATATTTTGCATGAATTAAATAAATATTTCAAGAAATATACGTGAAAGGTATTTTGTGCCTATTAATTTAGTATTTACATATTTCAAAACGCATGAGGGGAACTTCAAATGTAGTTTAAGTAAAGGTATTTTAAAATGATTTTAGAAGTATATTTTAGTACTAAGTAAAAAAAAAAGAAGTTTATATTTTCGGTCTATTTTTTGTGTACTTAAAATTATGAACTGTATTTCAAATATACTCAAATTAGAATGTGGTATATTTCAAACGTATTAGTTTTCGCTAAGGGTAGGCTGACTTGCTTGCGTACATCGGATTATCGCAGTGAAAAGGCGGGCAGCTTTCGAACGAAAGGAGGTCCGAAATAGTACGCTATATTTTCAGATTTTCCTACCGAAGAGCCGGCTTTTGATTTTCTATACCCTCTTTCTTTTGGCCCACTAAACGATATGTGATAAGTAAAGTACCAATCTAAAATCATTAATTGCAGCCAAAAGTTCCTTTCATGACCCCTCTTTGTCTTCTATTTAAACATGCTCATTGATTGGTTGTTTATGAACGCAAAAAAGGGGCACTGACGAAAGAAACATTCGCAGTTTTATTTTGATCTGTCGATCAAGCCGTCGTATGCAGAACTGCGTTTATTCGGAAAAGAAGCGAACGCTAATTCTAGTCTTATCCTTCCAGACACGCAACGCCGTGTCAGCGTTGCCGCGTCCTTCTTTTGTACAGTTTCTTCCCTTTTTGTTTTAGTGATTTCCGAAGCTTTTGCTGCTGGCGAAGTCTTCTCAAAGCTTCTCAGAGTATAATATCTCCTGCATGTTCTGTTACTTTTCTTTGTGTGAGTGTGTGTGTGTGTGTGTGTGTGTGTGTGTGTGTGTGTGTGTGTGTGTGTGTGTGTGTGTGTGTGTGTGTGTGTTTGTGTATTTGTGCGTGTGTGTGTTTTGTGTGCGCGGGCGGGCGTGTGTGTTCACAGTTGCATTGTGAGGCGGGCGGAGATCGTAACGCAGGTGTTCTGCAGCCGGCCAAGTCTCTTCGTCAGCACGATTCACTTACTTTTTTTCTTTCGAGACTAAACCAAAGTTGTCTTTAATAACAATGTAATTCTGCATTGATACTGATGATGATTGTAATAACAAACACTTTTCAGGAATGATAACGGACCTGTTCATCGATGTCTACAAGTTCCGAGGCAACAACGTGAAAAGCAAGGTGCCGGCGCTTCTTCAAATCCTCGACCACTACGACTTTAAATCACTGGCCGATTTTTTCACAAATAAAGTGTGACAACCGACGAGCAGGTCAATGATTTAGCGGCCGCATGCGGTAACAACTTAATCAGGAGTTTTGTCACATACCTGAACATCGCCAACAAACTATGTTTTCTTAACGTCATTGACAAATAAACAAGACGAGCGCTAACTGTCAACTAAACACTTATCGGGAAAAAATCTTGAGCAAAATCACAAAATTTTAATAAAGTTAACAAGTGAAATAGTCAGTCACCACGTGTGAATGAAATTAATCTCCTTCTTAAACAAAAGTACTGATGGCTCACTGACGCAGTTCTTCTCCTCTTTGGTTATCAAACGCCCTCCCAGAACTTTCTTTGCGTTCTTTTATGGCCCCTTTCAATTATTCTGGTATTTTAAAACTTGAGGAGACAGAGTCATATCATACAACAAACATGAAGGTGTATTTCTATCGTTGAACGAAGGTCCAGATGACACTCACGGATCCTTTCGTCCACACACCGTCGTGTCTGATTGAGACTCTGCCGCGCGACAAAGGGTTTGATTATATTCGACACTTACGGTGCATCCCACAAACTTCTTGAAATGTTTCACGGCACATGAAAGCCTGTTGTTACTTTTTCTGTTCATTCGCGTACATAGTTGTGCCACCTTCCCCGTGTTCAGTCGATACCACCCATAGAAGACCTTTGAATCCGCCAGCGTATCTCATGGCACCCACCGTCACATTTCTTGAGTTGAGAGACTAGCGGCACAGAAGACCGGCACAGCGTGCAACCCGCTAAACGACACTGCGCTGTCATCACCCGCACGCAACATCATCCGCTCACCCTTGCCCACAAGCTTCATTGAGACCCATTGTCAGCAACTCACTAGAATATACACTGTCTCATCACTTCACATCATCATTAGATCTGCCGCCGCATGCAGGCCTTTATGGTATGGGCTACTTGCCTTTCCGCGGCTTGGCGGTTCTCCTGTACAAAGATGGATATCACTATTACTACTATTCACTTACGTGGCGCCGAAAACGCAAGCGGCACATCGAATTGTGCGGCGACCTATCTTTACGTTAGGCGAAAGTTAGTGCACGCATGGAATCACCCAAGGTCCCCGTAGCGCTCCGACGACCAATTAAACACTACGGGAACCCCACCTATAGTTGGAGGGGGTGCTGTGTATATACCGACCGACCGATTGGCGCTGTCAGCTCGTGGTCGCCGGGGCTTCTGCAACGAGCGCTGTAGCCACAGCTTAAAGGGACACTACAACGAAATTGCGGGGCTTATTCCTTGGCCTAAACGTGTTCCAGGGAGCAGTATCACATCAGACACCCCAATCTCTCTTTGAAAAAGACACGAAAAGGAATTTTAAAACGAACTAAACGATTAGCACATGCCCCCATGTGGATGTCACCAAAGACTCGTTTGTAATGTCCAACTAGGAACATTAACAGGTAGTGACGATACGTGTCTTGCCCAGAACTATAGGAGGTATTCACTGGACGCCATATTTGAGGGCGATGTTTAGAGCGCATGCTCAGAACGAGCTCACATTAATAGCCTGCCAAGACCGACAACCCTGATGGTGCTAAATGCACGCTCCAAAAGGACTGCGGAAGCTCGCCGTCAGCACGCGCTCAGCAGCAGCGCACACGGATATGGCCTGCTGCCCCAAGCGTGCAAGCACGTGCAGCGTGCGCGTGAACGGTGAACGCTGCTGTGGCAAGCTTGTAGTTGCACGCACTTCCCCGCACGAGCAGAGACATGGCGGCGACCAGATTCACTGCTTGCGTGGAGAATAGAAGGGTAGGAGAGGGCATGACGCCAGCCACGTAGCCTCCACAAGCCATGCTCCCTTGACGCCTCGCCTCTTTCTCATTTTCCTCCTTACTCTCCTCACTTACCATGAAGACGTGACCACATCACGTGACCGTAGCTAGCCTTCGTCTTGCTATGGGGTACTAGCATACACCACAGTCTAGCCTTCGATCTGATAAAACCTACCGGACGGAGTGCGCGCAAGCCTGCAAGGAATCCTCCTACAATCAACCATCCATCTCGCACGTGACATGTCACGCGCACCAATCGCCAGACAGATCTGCGGTCACGCTGGGCACTAAATCGTTTAAACTTTTTATGACTAGGCTTCACCAATATTGCAACGTGCCCCCTCCTAGTACTTCTAACCTCCTTGCCTGCTTGCAATCGTCTTGTCGACGTCAGCAAATACTTTTACTAGGAGAATACATCCCACTCCTCTCAAATACAATAGCCTCGGCGCGGACAGCTTTTCTGGGCTTGGCGAGAGCCATCTATCGTCGGGGAGGTCTAGGCTATCGGGAGGTAAATGATGATGATGATGGTGGTGGTTCTACATACGAAATTTATTGTTGTGGAAATGCTCAAGACACGTGCCGCGCGCCACTTCTAGGAAGAACATGGCGTCTAAAATCTAGCTCAGTGCTGCGCCAAATACTTTGATGCGCTGTGCCGCCATGATCTTCCCAAGTGTTGCACGTTGCACGTGCCTCGTTCATCGACGCACCTTGCGCTACTTTTGGAACATTAAGGGGCTTTAGGTGGAAATACAGTGTTGGTGGAATTAAAGACGACACCGCCGCGGCCGCCGCGAACATCCACGTGCACATGCGCGTGGATTGACGCGGACCTCCCTTCCCGGTCAGGGCTGGATTCGGCGCTGCGGGCGTTGTGTCTAATGCGAATGAGCGGAGTGGAATGTATTCCCCCTAGTAAAGTATTTGACGTCAGCCTCGCGCCTCAGCTTTGCTCGTACCAACGTTATTAGATTACCTTTGCTCGTACCAACGTTAGTTCGTACCGAGACGGGTTACGTCCCGATTGCGGTGGATGTCACGTGATCTCCGCTGGCTGCTCTCCGAGCGCTTGCCAGAGTGGGCCGCTTATTACGAAAAATACAGCCGTCAGGCTCGAACTCCCAACGTGCGATTCCCCTTTACGGATCTAGGGGATCGTATTCAGCCTATTTCGAAACTTCTTTGAAGTATTCCTTTACTTCACGGTTTCCACTTTTGCCCGTCTCCTTCAGTCTTGCATACTCTGCACCTTTTACCCTGTCCCAACCGTCCCAACGCGGCCCCTTCACCGTTTAGGAGAGGACGCAAAGATGATTATCTTCCTTGCAGAATACAGAGACTGTACGTCGGCCTTTAAGAAACGGAGGGGCGTGGCGATGCCCACGCATATCATCTTTTCTCAGCCAATGAGATCTCGACATCAACCGAGAGGAACACCGAAGCACCAATCAGGAAACAAGAGGCGATCAGAAGAGGCCACACCCTCTTTGACCACACACTTTTGGCAGTGCGCATGCGCAGACGGGCCACTTCACGCGAACCTGGTTCCTGCGCACGCGCAGGGCCCCATAAAGGTATTATAATTGTATGCTAGGGGTTCAACTGGCGCTAGTGTGCTTCGGCAGATTGAACCAGACAGCAAACCGATCGGAAATTTACTTCCGGCAATGCATTTCTACGGGAAAAAGCGAGTGCGTTTTCTCCTTCCGCTCGATTATAACAGCAAATATCACGAATAATCTCAGTCACGCAGACGAATTAATTGGACAGTTACGGCGTTTTTATTTTAAATTCGTGGCATAAAAAACGGTGCTAAAACCGCTTCGTACGTGTATTTATGTGCACTTTCGGACACTGTTAGCGCGAACACGCCGACGGCGTTTTTCAGCATGGGGAATATACGTGCCAAACGAACGAAGGACACCGGGAAAACTAAGAAAGACGGCAAGAGCTACGCAGTAACACTGGACAAGTAACTCCTTGTGCATGCACAATCAAAATAAATCGAAGGTCACGTAATATAGTCCGATTTTCAGTAAGTACTGCTTTATTCTTTCTGCTCTGTGCGAATACGCTCGTTCTACGTTCAAAACATCACCCGCAGGCTTGAAATCTTTGATAGCAACTTCCTCATAAAAGCTGCCCTGCATAGAAAGAAATAAAAGGTAGACCTATGGGGGATATACGTACCAAACAAACGAAGGACATGTGAAAAACCGAGAGAGACGCCAAGAACTACGCAGTAACACTGGGTCAGTAACTCTCTGTGCACGTACGATCAAAATAAAGTGAAGGCCACGTAATATAGTTCATTTTTAAATAAGTACTCCTTTGGTATTTCTGCTGTGTGCGAATATGCTTGCTCTACGTTCAAACCATAACCCGTGCACTCGAAATCCTTGAAAATAGGGAGAAGCCACAGATCAGGTGCCTGATAAAGGCTGAATGACATAAGAAATAATAATAAGACATAACTTTCATAGCCCATGTACTTTATTCTTTATGTTTCGAATACGTTTTAACCGCTCGTATGGATGCACGACGGAGTCATTTTCATGTAGTGACAGGACAGGCATATTAGCAATATCTAAGCACCACCGGAATGCTGGCGTTCTTTGAACACACTCTACATTCCCGTCGATTGTTATTTCGCTTAGAATCGTCGCTCGTTTTTACATTACTACCACGGAACAGATGGTTTGGGCCTGGAATATGGTGATGCTTAATATAGTTCAGTGGTAAAGAAAAATTATGTAACTAAAGCAATTACAGCTTTACAATGTTGATAAAAAGTCATACTATTCGGTACGACCCAAATAACAGAAGTTATCTATGTTATCTTCCGGCGAAGAAACAAAATGCTCGCGCGTTTTCCTATGTAGGAATGCACAGGGGCGCCGTAAAAGTAGATTGGTTGCTGTCTGCTTAAATATGTCTCCCGAACGTATAGACACTAGCACCAGTTGAACCTCTCGCGTACATTATAACAACTCCTATACAGTGCCCACACCAACCCATTCGGGCTATCGTCTCCCCCCTTCTTCGGTATTTAACAGAGACGTCCGATATTTTATGAGCATAGCACGGAGACTTCACGCCGGCAGCCCGGAGTGCGGTTGCGATGGGTGATTCAGCGAGTTTAGCAGAGGTGTGTGATGAATACGAGGTGGTGGCCGGCTCAGCCTCAAAGTCGCAACTTCAGAGGAC